CATATGCTTTCAATGTGTGCTGGATTGTTTTAAATATATGGTGTGGATCTGCTCTAAGTTACCTCACCACTGAAGCAATAAAGCAGAACAGATACTTGCAGCTGAAGTGAATTCTCACTAAAGGGAGTACTAAACATTGAGCCCTGGGGGAAGCACAAAATAGGTGTTTTGTGAGGAACAATGTGGTGGCTTTGGTTCAAATCCAAAGGTCAAAAACTTCTGGTGAGTGTAAGAAAACCTTTAGGAAAAGTGCTCCATGTTTCTGGTGATTTTCAGCCTCTTTAGTTTCCCTTCTTTCTGCTTCTCCAGTGCCATTTTCTTATTCCTCATTACATGATCCCAGGGCAGAGGTGACCAGTGTCACAAACCAGTTCTGCTTATCAGCCCTCCAGATACAACTGCTACTAATAATAATTTATTATTTATACCCCGCCCATCTGCCTGGGTTTCCCCAGCCACTCTGGGCGGCTCCCAACAGAATATTAAAAACAGGATAAAACATCAAACATTAAAAACTTCCCTAAACAGGGTTGCCTTCAGATGTCTTCTAAAAGTCAGATAGTTGTTTATTTCCTTGACATCTGATGGGAGGGCATTCCACAGGGCAGGCACCACTCCCAAGAAGGCATTCTGCCTGGTTCCCTGTAACCTCACTTCTTACAGTGAGGGAACTGCCAGAAGGCCCTCGGAGCTGGACCTCAGTGTTCAGGCTGAACAATGGGGGTGGAGACAGACACCAGACATTATGATAATATAATAATAATTTATTATTTATACCCCACCCATCTGGCTGGGTTTCCCCAGCCACTCTGGGCGGCTCCCAACAAAATATTAAAATACAATAGGCTGTTAAACATTAAAGGGCTGCTTCAGATGTCTCCTAAAAGTCTGGTAGTTGTTGTTCTCTTTGACATCTTGTGGGAGGGCGTTCCACAGGGTGGGTGCCACTACTGAGAAGGCCCTCTGCCTGGTTCCCTGTAACCTCACTTCTCACAGGGAGGGAACTGCTAGAAGGCCCTCGGAGCTGGACCTCACTGTTCAGGCTGAACGATGGGGGTGGAGACACTCCTTCAGGTATACTGGGCCGAGGCCATTTAGGGCTTTAAAGGTCAGCACCAACACTGAATTTTGCTCAGAAATGTACAGGGAGCCAATGTAGGTCTTTCAGGACCGGAGCTATATGGCCTCACAGCAGCTCACCTGGATTGTGTAGGGTAGGGTGGCAACGTGTTCATGACCGTGTTGCAAAGCCAGCTCAGAACTACACCAGAATATAATCCCCACACAATCTAGGTAAGCAGCAACAAAATCAGTACCAGGAGAGCATCTTCCAGTGTTCCAACCACTCCAATCCTAGGGATCACCTAATACGGGATTGACATCATAGTATTACATCAGCATTCTCAGTGCTGTTTTTCTAGGAAAAAAAGAGTGTTGGAACTCACCACAAACACCTCCCCTTGTTATCTTTTAATGGTAATGGTTCCCACCTGAGAGGTGCCAGAACTGAGTTCGAGTGAGTTCCAGCTGGAAGAAAACAACAACCTGGGTATCCTTCACCTCAAATGATGACAGGGAGAGCAAAGATATGCTAATTAGCTTCAGTTCTGTTGTGTCCTTGCCACCAACCCAGCCACTCTCCACACTTTGGACGGCAAACGTCCATAGAAAGTAATCACACAGCCACATGGCCAGTCTAAGCAGGTGGTGTCACTGGTCCTTCTGCTCTTCACTCTGGGGGAAGTTGCATGGTCTGCTCCCTGACAGCACAGCATATGAACATAGAGAACATTGTCGTGCTAACTCAGCAAGGCAAGGATGTGATTCTGGCACCTTCAGTTAAAGGTTAAAAAAAGGTAAAAGACCCCTGAACGCAGGGGTGTGTGGTGGGGGCGGGTCACCCCGGGTGTCACCACTGAGGAGGGTGACAAAATGCTGGGCAGCACTCACCGTGGGGCCTGAAGCACGCCTGAACCATGCATCTCTACTGGGAGTGACGCAGTGGCTTGGGCACCCACAGGCTCCGCGCTGCCCCAAATGGTCCGCTCACCGCCTCCCCCTCAGCTATAGGGCAGCTGAGTGGGAGGAGGCAGGCAAACTCCTCAGAGGCCCCGCAGAGTGTTCTGCCCCAGCTCGCCCCATCCCGTGGGTTGCCCCGTCCCTGGGGTTGCGGAACTCATCTCACTTTAAGGCTGAGGGAGACAACGTTTGTCCACAGACAGCTTTCCAGGTAATGTGGCCAGCATGACTAAACTGCTATTGGCACAACAGAACACCATGGCAGAAGCCGGAGTGCACAGAAACTCCGTTTACCTTCCCACCGCAGTGGTACCTATTTATCTTCTTGCACTGGCGTGCTTTCAAACTACTAGGTTGGCAGAAGCAACGGGAGCTCACCCCAATACAGGAATTCGAACTGCCAACCTTCTGATCGGCAAGCCCAAGAGGCTCAGTGGTTTAGACCACAGCACCACATTTACCTTTTATCCAGTTAAAAGGATAAGGCAGCAAGTATGGGAATGACTTCTTCCTGAGACTCTGAAGAACAGCTGTCAGACAATACTGGGACTGATGGGCAGATAGACTGACCTCATATAAGGCATTTTCCTATACAGTGGTACCTCGGGTTACATACGCTTCAGGTTACATACGCTTCAGGTTACATACGCTTCAGGTTACAGACTCTGCTAACCCAGAAATAGTACCTTGGGTTAAGAACTTTGCTTCAGGATGAGAACAGAAATCGTGCTCCAGCGGCACAGCAGCGCCGGGAGGCCCCATTAGCTAAAGTGGTGCTTCAGGTTAAGAACAGTTTCAGGTTAAGAACGGACCTCCAGAATGAATTAAGTACTTAACCCGAGGTACCACTGTATTCTGATATCCAGCTTCCATTTCTGAATTTCCTCATGGTGCCATGAGATATACTGCACATGGTAACAGCTGCTATTAGCTGAGATTTTCTGAAAAAGAGATCTTTTCCCCCCCTTTAGCCTTCTAAACAATTTTCCACCAGTATTGTCAGTTGCAAAATGAATTTTTCATCTTCTCTGATTCCTCTGTTGAGTAGTCATCACTAGCGCTAGCTAAATGATGAAAATAATTGTTCAGTGAATAGATGCCAAATATCAATTATTGTTATTCACGTTCTTTTCGTCTACATTCTGTAGAGCTGAAAAATTAAGAGCATTCATGAATAACTATAATATGAAATTATTCCAACATTCTCAATTAATGCTATTCACAACTTTGGGGAGAGCACTTAAAGACAAAAACAAGCGGAAATGTGATGAGTGAGACCTTTCTCTAAATGAGGGCACTGCTTATCCAAATATTCAAAATAAGCTTTGAATTTGGAAAAAGGTGTTAAAATGTCCGAGTTATTTTATATTTGAAGGACAGAATTTTCAGTACTTTATTAGCATCCCAAACTACATGAGGAAATCAATTAACATATGGAGCTTTTGATATGGCTATCATCTGCAGGATTAGGAACCACAAACACCAATCAGATTTACCCTGAAATGTGTATCCAAGTACCCGCCCCATCTATTTGCATGGGATTTCTTCAGTGGGATGAATATTGTGGATTGGACTGAGAATTTTGTGTATTCAGAACCCAGACATTCAAAACAGAGCTCAGACCTGAAACACATCTTCCCACTCACACTCTTTCTATGACTAGGAATGGAATATGAACCATTGTTGAAAGCCTACAAAAAACTCAAATTTCAATAACAAAACAAATACCTCTGATTTAGTGGTGTTTCCACATGTTCCATGGGGAAGGGACGCGGGTGGCGCTGTGGGTAAAACCTCAGCCCCTAGGACTTGCTGATCGTAAGGTCGGCGGTTCGAATCCCCGTGGCGGGGTGAGCTCCCGCCATTCGGTCCCAGCTCCTGCCCACCTAGCAGTTCGAAAGCACCCCTAAGTGCAAGTAGATAAATAGGTACCGCTTTATAGCGGGAAGGTAAACGGCGTTTCCGTGTGCGGCGCTGGTGCTGGCTCACCAGAGCAGCTTCGTCACGCTGGCCACGTGACCCGGAAGTGTCTCCGGAAAGCGCTGGCTCCCGGCCTCTTGAATGAGATGAGCGCACAACCCTAGAGTCAGACACGACTGGCCCGTACGGGCAGGGGTACCTTTACCTTTACCTTACCACATGTTCCAAACCATATTACATTGAAATGCCTAAGAACATTTCTAATAGCTATGGAAGAACTTCTGTTGTGAAGAATGGGTGGCAGTAAAGAGGAATTCTGGGAATGGACTGCAGCAGCAGTGAAATCCTCATATTTAAGGCTTGGATGCTGATGAAGAGTATTTTATTTATTTATTTTTGCCATGAGGGACCCTGGGAAATTAGAGTTCCCCATGGCTCCTGACTCAATCAGCTGAACTGAGCAGCACTGAATATCCCATTACCAAGGCTCCCCAGGATTAAGGGATGTTCTGTGCACCCTCCAGCCTTTAAAATAGGCTCTCCACTGCTGCCATAAAACTACTATACTGATCCCGTTTGTTGCAAATATGGATGAGCAAAAGTGTGAATTTCAGTTTCTCATTTTTCCGTTCTTATGTTAAGTTCTCCACATTTTTGCATTAGTTTTTGTTTTTAAGTTCTCATGGAAATTCAACAGCATTTTATTGTGTTAAACACGTTTTATACAGTTGTCTCTGATATGCATTTTTTGCAATCAGTTTTCCTAATATATTATAATATGGGAAAATCTGTACATTTAGGTTTTTCTAGACTTTACAGTTTGTGATGTATTTATGTATTTATTTTAAAAGATTTTCTCTTGAAGATTCATAAGCATTGTTGTACGGATTCGCCCTAATACACACATTTTTTTATGCAATTTTGCCTGATTCACACACACACACACACACACACACACATATATATTGCAATCAATTTTCCCTGGTATAATCATAGAAGTGTAGAGTTGAAAGGGACCGCAAAGGTCATCTAGTTCAACCCGCTGCAATACAGGAATGTTTTGCCCAATGTGGGGCTATAAGCCACAACTGAGATTAAGAGATTAAGAGTCTCATGCTCTACCGACTGAGCTATCCCTGCTCCATGTATTTTTATATATTATTTTCATCAATATATGCATCTTTATACACACTGTCCCCTAAATATACACACTTTTCTACAAGTTATCTTGTAGAACCGTATCGCAAACTTTGGACAAGTGTGAATTTCAAAGGATAGTGTGATGGGATGATGAGCTGCTTGTGCGTAAAATCGTATCCCCTCAGAGTTTGTTCAAGTCCACAAACCTCTGTCTGTGACGGAGCCCCTCAGACATGGCTCCTCTAGTCACTAGCAGATTCCGACAGTGGTTGCTTTCAGTGTCGCTTCCAACATAAAAGCTCCTTAACGGAAACACGTCTTCTGGACTCTCTGCGTGACAGTTTCCGGCGAGGAGTGGGTGTTCTTACAGGAGGTCCTGAAACCTCCCCACTGTTTTCGCTGGAAGTGTCTCTGAGCCATCCCTCCAGCTCAGCTCCTCTCCCCCTGCTGGTTCCCTCTTCAGCTGCTGAGTCTCTCCCAACCTGTGTGAGCCCTTTCACCTCCCTGCTGGTTCCCTCTTCAGCTGCTGAGTCTCTCCCAACCTGTGTGAGCCCTTTCACCTCCCTTCCGTCCGATGGCAGTTCCCTGACAGATAGCTTTGAGAATTAGGGAGGTTCACATTAAAATTTGAACTGAACTGAACTGAATTTATCCCAGGAAGGGAAATAGGCACCTTTGTAGGCTAACTATCCATTTAACTAGAATTAATTAAAAGCTGCCCTAAAGTTTGTGCTGTGCAGGCCAGAGCATCCAGAGAGGCATTATTGGTACTAATAACATCACTGGCAAGTGCCAAGTTCCAAGTAAACAGGCACTGGGTTGCCCTGCATGAAACCTAGAGTGACCCGCTGCCCAGTGGCATAGCGTGAGTTGCCAGTACCCGGGGCTGCAAGGAGGTGGGAGGAAGGGAAACGGTCGGAATACACATGCACATTCAACTGCCTAACAGTCACTGCAGCACCCAGAAGATTGTAGCCACAGAGATGATGAAAGAAGAGTCATGCTGTTGTCTAGTGAGGTCACTTCCTATTCTCTTAGAGAAGTCATTTTCAATGGAGTCCACCCACGGAAGCACGCAGCTGTATCTGAGGCAGCACCGGATGTTGAAATTTTGCACTCCTAACAATTTTGCACCCATGCTATGCCACTGCTGGTGCTTCAGAGGAAGGACCTAATCCAGATACAAGCACAACCCAACAAAAAGCATCTGTGCATGTCTCCCACTGTATTGAATTCCATGTGTGGATACTTTTCAGATGGGATCTCCAGAAAGAAGCAGCTAACCTTATAAATTCAGCACCATAAACATCTTCTTTATAAGTGCGGGGGGGGGGGAGAAGGAAGCTTTTAAATGGGATTGGAAGAAAAATAGCAGGTTTCTGCCCTCCGCCATTCTTAATAGAATGGAGGCATTGTGACAGACGCCAACAGCATAGAAATAAAATGATATAGATTTTTACCTTGGGTCTTTGCCATTTTCTCCTATGACACAGTAAGTTCCAATCCCAAATCTGCTGTGAAAAAGGCAGGGAGGGGAGGGGATGATTACAACATTAATGAGAAGCTGTGTCCTGAATTCCAATTTAAATTTATGTAAGACAGGCCTGAGAATACTCTCTATATGAGGGGGGGGAGCCATGTTGAGACTAGGTATGAAAAGCGTAAGAAGGCTAATGGTGACTGACGGTAATAAGAGGGAGAAAAGGAAAACAACATAGCATTAAAAAGTATCACCAAGGGGTTGGGGGAGATAAAGACAAAACTAGGTATCACAATTAATGATCTATTAATCCATAATAAATTCAATATGTACTCTACTTCCATAGCCATTTATGGGCATTCCTGAGCAGCCCCTCAGGAAAAATGTACTGGGTATGTTCCCTTCTCTGAAATCTTAGGTGTTTTGTTTGTTTGATTGTTTCTAAGCAAACCTTGGCTGCTTTATTAGTAAGGATCTGGGGAAAACATGCAGGCAATGTTCTCCTGAGTAGTTCAGAAGGAAGAAACCCTAAGTACCTTCAGTCAATAGCTGGAAAGATATTGGGCTGTCTGATATGAACTTAGAAAACACAATCCAACCCATCCCTCCTCTCACACATTTGGGATATGCCACCATGCAAATTTATAGTAAGATTAACTATATGGTAAAAGATTAATAAATAATAATTGGTCCCCAAATGCATGTTTGGGTTAAAAGTGGCCCCTGGGTCTGAAATGGTTGAAGACTACTGCCCTAAATGTCCATTGAATAGTTGTCAAATACAGTGGTACCTTGGGTTACATACGCTTCAGGTTACATACGCTTCAGGTTACACACTCCGCTAACCCAGAAATAGTGCTTCAGGTTAAGAACTTTGCTTCAGGATGAGAACAGAAATCATGCGGCAGCGGCAGGCCCCATTAGCTAAAGTTGTGCTTCAGGTTAAGAACAGTTTCAGGTTAAGAACAGACCTCCGGAACGAATTAAGTACTTAACCCGAGGTACCACTGTAGATATAAATAATGCTAGTAAAGTCACAAAATGGGGCTAGTAATTCAGTAACCCTGCTTTGTTCAGTAACCCTAATTAGAATTAGTCCAAGACAGGAATGAGCAAACTTATGAATAGACTTGCTTTATGGTGCAGAATTATAGGGCGGGGATGGTGGTGAAGAGAGAATTTGCAGTATCAACAATGGAGCAATTGCAGCTGGCACATGCCTTTGCCTGCCCCAGCGGCAATGTAACAGGTCTCTTCCACATGGTTTCTAGAGCCACAGCAGGCGGTGTGACTCTACAACAGTTTGACTTCACCCCCGAAAGTGCATTCTCCCATTGTCTCCCGAGAGAGACGGATGCCAACCAGCAGCTGGAACATTTGAATTGGTTAGACTGAAAACCAACAAGCACTCTTTTTATTATCACATTGTTGGGTTGAAATCACGACAGACGAGTGGTAGGTGTCATATGAGAGGCGTCTCTCCTGGGGCAAGCCCCGGGAACTCTCTTTTATTGAATATTACAAACATTGCCACAGGTGTGCTTGTGGCTGATTGGTTGATACAAACACAAAGCATCTTGTTGCTGATTGGTTAACATAGGTACAAGGCGGGAATTACATATGAGCATTTATCACTGATAGATCAAAGGATGAGAAATGGAGCTGGAACTAGACAGGCATGAAACCTCCTAATTAAATTATAACTAAAGATTGATATTGAAGGAACATAACATGAAAGAATACAACAATCACGTTCCGTAGATGTGGTCAGCAATGCATTAAGAACAGGTCAGGATACACTGTTTCATGAACTCAATGGGAACTGTTCAGAACATTCTCAGACTCTTGTGCAGAAGCAGAGAAAAGATTATGAGCGAGACTTCCCAGAATGCAAGAGAAAAGAAGCAATAGTTCTCATAGTCCCGTAATGCCGCAGTTATGTGCAGTAAGAGAACTGCAGAAAGAAAACTTCCCTTCATCTCCTTAGGGAGACAAAGCAACAGATCTTCAGCTGAGATAATTGCATCTTCAGCTAAGTCCAGTAGCTGACCCACAACAGTTTTCTCCACAGAAGTGGAATGCTTGAATATAAGGACCCTGTTGAGTCAGACCAAAAGCCTGTCCAGTCCAGCCCTCAGTGGCAAACCAGATGCCTAGAAGAAGTCCTCAAGCAGGATGTGAGCACTATAGCACTGTTGCTTCCCACCATCTGGTGGTGACTCTAATCCATCATGACTAGCTACCATTGAGCCTCCTCAAGCTGGTGGCCATCACAATATCTGGCAATAGTTAGTTCATGTGCCTTATTGTTTAGCATTTTTCAAAGTCCATATGCTGAAACCTCTCCTCCTAGGATAGTTTTTTCCAGTTTTGCTTTACAGAAATTATGAAAACCTGTAAGTACCACGCAAATATTTGCACTTTGAGAAATACCTAAAATACAGCTTGGAACCTCTTCTCTACTCGATCTGTGCCGTATGTTTGATCAGAATTGAGTCCCACTGTGTTCAATGCGGGAGGTTTGCTCCTTCGTAATCACATTTGTAATGTAAAATGATTGAATTTAGATAGTCTGAAGGATATAAACTCTATCAACACAAATACAGTACAATCAATGGAGTATTACAAATTAACACTTTGGTGTACATGCTGGTTCAAGATCTGGACTTATCTACTCAGAAAGAAGCCTCTTTGTGTTTCACGGGGCTAGCACTCAGGTAAATGGGCACAGGGCCGCAGCCTTGGTTTTCTTGTGAGTAATAATAATAATAATAATAATAAATTTTTATTTATACCCCGCCCTCCTGGCCAGAGCTAGGCTCAGGGTGGCTAACACCAGTAAAATAACAATAAAAACATAATAGGGGAGGGGGAGAACAATTTAAAATAAGGTTTAAAATACAATTTAAAATGCAGCCTCATTTTAATAGTAGCCCATAGTTCAAAACCATAAGGGGAGAGAAATATAAGGGTCAGACTGAGTCCAATCCAAAGGCCAGGCGGAACAGCTCTGTCTTGCAGGCCCTGCGGAAAGATGTCAAGTCCCACAGGGCCCTAGTCTTTGTGACAGAACTTTCCACCAAGTCGGGGCCAGTACTGAAAAGGCCCTGGCCCTAGTTGAGACCAATCTAACCACCTTGCGACTTGGGACCTCCAAAGTGTTGTCATTTGTGGACCTTAAGGTCCTCCGCAGGGCTTACGAGGAGAGGCGGTCCCGTAGGTACGTGGGTCCTAGGCCACATAGGGCTTTAAAGGTCAAAACCAACACCTTAAACCCGACCCTGTACTTCACCGGGAGCCAGTGCAGTTGGTAAAGGGATGGAACTTAAATTTAGGCAGTTCATTATGTTTATTTTTTAAAATATAGTGTTTGATGTTGCAGTGATATATAGCAGTTAGTGGGAAAGACTTGGCTTTAAAGAATTGTGGGTGCACCAATAATGGCAGCAGATACTAAAAGTCAGGCAAGGTTTGGAAATATGGATTCATTTATATATGAATGTTTTTTCATGGGTTTATG